GGGGGGGGGGGGGGGGGGGCAGTGTGTTTGGTCAAAAGGAATGGCCGCTGACACGCCGGCGCGGGGCCCCGCAGGAAACTGCCAACTGGATGGGCGGCAAACAAAAGCCCCGGCAGCCGTGGCTGGGCCCCGATGCCGAAGGCCGGCCGCAGTCTTGGCTGATGCACATCCCCCCGCCCCCCGGCCTTTTGGTGGCCGTCAGTTCTCCACATGCCGACACTTTTGTGAAGCAGTCCACAGGCGGCCCCGGGGGCCTCCCGCGCAGATCCGGTCGGCCTTTTGGCCCCATCACCCGGGGGAGGGCGATGTGATCAGATCGCGGGCCGCAGGTCGGGCCAACGCTGCCCGCCCCTCGGCCCCACCTTCCCGAGGGGACGACCTTGAGGCAGCCCCCGGCCCCCCCATGACACCGCCACGTCTTCCGCCACCGCCACACCGGCACTTCGCCTGCTGAGACATCCGCCTCAGCCTGCATGGGGAGGGACATACACGCCCTTCCCCCCCCCCCCCCCCACACACACACACATACACACCAGGACCCCGACGGTCACCTCAACCAGATGGGCCCGCAGCGCCGAGCAGCCTCGCCGGTACGGGAAAGACCGCTGCCCGGCGGACACCCTCCCCCTCGCCCGCTCTAACACCGGATCCAGGCCAGCTCGCCCTGCACCAGTCGACCGATATGGGCTGCAGCCTTCGGCCCGGACGCCGCGGCCCCCCGCCGGATGGTCGACCGGCCGGCCAAGCACTCGGTCACTTTGCGCCCGCCCCGCGCCTTCCCGCCCTCCCATCCCCCTGCTGCCCTCTCGGCCTGCGGCCCCCCATGTCTCGGGGCAACACGCGCGGGCAGATGCCCCGGCGCCCCTTCCAGGTGCCGCCCTCTCGCGCTTCGGCCGGCCCCCGCGCAGCACAGGGGCTGCTCCCTTTCCCACGCCAGCCGCCCGGCTGCCGTTGCCAGTATGCCCGGTTAGCCGGATCGGCGGGCGAGGCACATTGCCCCCCGCTCGACGCCACCCCGACATGCCCACATCGCGCCAGGCGCCCGGATTATCCCGGCAGCGGCATGCCAGACAGCCGGCATGGTGGCAGTGCCCTCGGTTCCCTTGCCAGCCGCAGCAAGTCCCGGATCGGTGCCGGGCTCGGGCTCGCGATGCGCAGGCCGACTGGCCGCAGTGGCAGGACCTCCCCCCACAGGCACATGCGAATGCACGCCCACACGCACTCTGCCCCGCTCCTCCTGCGTATGACGCACGCGCATGACTCCCACAGCCCGAGGCAAGGGCGTGTGCTTCGGGTGTCCGGCTGGCCCCGAATGGCTCGGCTCCCGGCCGGAGGGTGCCCCGCCGTGGAGACCCCGGGCCCGGGGCAATCACCCCGGCCGAGCTCGGCAGCCGCCATGACAGGGACTGCAGGGGGCCTCAACCGGGGGGGGAGGGGGGGGGGGCAGGGAGCGCCGTCAAGGGCAGGTGCCACACCACCCCGCGCCCGGCGGCAGCCCCATGCTCGCTCGGCCGGCGTGGGCCGCCAACTGCGCACATCCCAGCCGTCTCAGACGCCCGACCGGACAATCCGTCTGCCCATCGCTGGCTTCCTCTGTGCATCGGCGTCGCCGCCCCCCCCCCCCCCCCCCCCCCCCCCCCCCCCCCCCCCCCCCCCCCCCCCCCCCCCCCCCCCCCCCCCCCCCCCCCCCCCCCCCCCCCTCCAGCCCCGTGTACAGCGCCTCGCCCATGCACTCAGGGCCGCCAGCGAGACATCGCCCAGGACTTGGGCTCAGCCAGCTGGCGGTCGCGCTGGCGCGGCACACCGGACGGCAGCGCACCACGTCGCAGCATCGCCCCTCCCGGTGGCCCGGCCGTGGGCCAAAAAAGAAGAAAAAGGCCCCGGAGCACGGGCCAGAGGAGGGGCATGCCAGGCAAGGCCAGCCAGCAGACAGTCAGCTCCATTTGCGTCGCTGTCTATTCGCACGCGGACACACACACACACACACAGAGCGAGAGCCGAGTGGGGGCCAACGGGGAGGAGAGGGCGGAGCCGATGGCCATGTACCATCTCCTCCCCCCCCCCCCCTCCCCCGCTCGGGGCGGGGCAGGCAGACGCAGAGGGCCCCCTCCCGCCGGCGGCCATCACTGGTTGGCACGGGTCCGGTCGCCGATGGTGTACGCGCCGTAGTCCTTCTCCGGGTCGTACACCTCCCACCGGCTGGCCGGGAAGATGTGCTTGTTGCGCTCGTACCACCGGCGCTCGCACACCTTGCCGGCGTGGGACTCGTCGCGCTCGACGCGCGCGTCGGCCGCCAGGCGCACATCCTCCCGCACATCAAAGTGGAAGAGCGGCCCGGACTTACCACGCGCCCGGTTGACGATGAAGTCATAGAAGGTGTAATGGTGCGGGATGATGAGATCCTCCTTGATGTAGAGGAGGTTGTCCACCGGCACCCCGCGCAGCTGGTCGAACTCCCGCCGCGCCCGGTCCAGGAAGGTGGCAATCGAGTCGCCCTTGCGCACTTCCACCGATGCCCGGTGCCCGGACCCGTCCCAGAAGGAGTATGTAATTTGAATGGGCTCGGCCTTCATGGCCTCCTGCTGCTGGCGCCACTTGGCGGCCAGCTCCTCGCGCTCGCGCTGCTCGGCCGCCTCGCGCTCGGCATCCGGCAGGAAGGATGTGTCCACATTGGGGTTCTTGCCGAGGCGAAGGCCACCGGCCGGCGCGGCCGCGCCGGTCTGGCCAGCATCATCGTCGGGGGTTGTCGCGGCGCCGGCCGAGCCGCTGGCGGCCGGCGAGCCGCGCCGCACCGGCACCGCCTCCCCTCCGCCGTCGTCATCATCATCGTCGAAGGAGAGCTTGGCCTTCTTGGCCGGGCGCTTGGCCACGCCCCGCGAGCCGCCGGCCGAGGCTCCGGGCTCGGCTGCCCGCTTGGCCAGCCGCCCGGTCAGGGTGCCGGTGCGGGTGCCGGTGGCGTTGGCGGTCGCCTCGGCGGCCAGCCGGTCCCCGAGGGCTGCCTCGCGCTGCTCGTACTCCGACAGCGACACCAGCCCCACGGCCTTGAGGGGGGTGACCGAGGACGAGGAGCTGGCCGGGCTAGATGAGGTGAAGTCATTCTTGACAAGCTTGGAGGATTCCTGCGCGCCGAGCGGAGAGGCAGGGGAAGGGAGGACAGGGGGGGGGGGGGGGGAAACGGGAGGGGCGGGGGGGGGGGCCGCGAAAAGGCGGCGGGGGGGGGAACAAAAGGGGGGGGGGGGGGGGGGGGGGGGGGGGGGGGGGGGGGTGGAGGGGGGGCGGGGGGGGGGGGGGGGGGATCAGCGAAGGTCGCGGGCTGGAGGCCCGGCAAGCAGGCCGGAGAGGGAATCAAAGAGGGGCAGGGGGAAGGGCAGGGAGCTTGCAACCCGCTCGCGCACCTGGGACTGCTTGGAGCGGAGGCGCTCGCGGTCCTCCTGCTCGATCTGGCGCTGGCGCTCAAGGCGGCGAATGCGGTCCATCTTCTCGGAAGGGGTGAGGAGCAGCACGCAAGGCGAAACGGAAGGAGGAGGGAGGAAGAGGGAGAAAGAGAGGGAGAGGAGGGAGGTGGGGGGGAAATTGGGGCGCGAAAACAGCAGGCAACGGGGAAGGGTGTGTGAGCAAGCGGGATCCGGCGCGCGGGCGCTCCCTCTCGAGTCCCGGCTGCACGGTGTGCCGGGCCCCTGCGGTTGGGCGGCCGCAGATCGGCCTTGATCACGCGGGGATCATGTGCAAGGCGCCTTTCCCAGGCTAGCGCCCCCCCGCCCCCGTCGCCGGAGGCGCCTGGTACCCGGGGGTCACACAAAAGGCCGGCGAAGGGCAATCCCACCGCGCATATACATGCCCATTTATTTAAATAGATGAATGCACATCTCTACGCACGGGCGGTGTGCACAATCCCGAGAGGGCCAAATGGCCAGGTCAGGCACTCAGGCTCCACATCATCATCCTTTCCCCCCTCCCTCCCCCCCCCCCGGACCACCCGGCGCCAGCCCGGGCGAGTCGCATAGATATGACACGACGGCACAACGCGGCAGGATGTGTCTGGATAATTAGGCTATATTAGATGTTATATGTCTGAGGAGGAGGGCGGAAGACCAGGAGAGAGAGAGAGAGAGAGAATCAGGGGGGGGGAGGGAGGGAGAGGCGCTGCCTTTCGTCACCGGTCGTCTCGGAGAGTGGGGAGAGTCGCGCACGCACAAGGCCGTCTCCGCCCTCCTGGTGGGGGGGAACGATGCCCGAGGGGGGCGCCGCCAACACCAAATGCAGAGAGGGGGAGGGAAATGGGGAGGAAAGGGCAGCGGCGAGGAGAGGGTAAAGAGATGGAAGAAGCGTCATGGCAGGGCATCGCCCGACGCATGGCTCCTCTTTCACGCTGTTTCCTTGGGGGTTTCTTCCCGCCCACTTTCGCGTGGCATTGGGCGGAGGGCGACCACAAAAGCCACTTATTGCTCACCCCCCCCCACCCCCCCCCCCACGGTCCGGGGCTCCGCCCGCCGAGACGCAAGGCGGCAGCACGGGGAGACAAAGAGGAGAGAGGGGGGGGGGAGGGTGCGCGCGGCGAGAGCGGGGCGCGGATGCGACCGGCTGCGCGCGCTTACATCAGCATGCGGATGGGGTTCTCCAGGAAGGCCTTGAACTCCTGGAGCCAGCGAGCACCGACGGCGCCGTCAACCACACGGTGGTCGCAGCTCAGGGTGACGCTCATCATCTGCTTGGTGGTGATGGCATCGGAGTCGGCAGCCGGGACGACGCGGCGCTCAACAGTGCCGACGGCCAGAATGCACGACTGCGGGGGGTTGATGATGGCGGCGAAGTCGCGCACACCGAACATGCCCAGGTTGCTGATGGTGAAGGTGCCGCCCTGGAACTCGGCAGGGGCCAGGCGCCCGGCACGAGCGCGGGTGGCCAGATCCTTGACGGTGGTGCTGATGGACTCCAGGCCGAGCTGGTTGGCGTTCCGGACAATCGGGGTAATCAGGCCGTTGTCGGTGGCCACGGCAACCGAGATGTCGGCATTGGTGTAGCTGGGAGGAGGGCGGCGGCGGCGGCCGGGCGACATGACTGTGTGAGCACATGCGAGAGAGAGAGGTGGGGGGGGGGGAGGGAAGTGTGCGCGTGTGATGATGCACAACCACCAGCGGCACAGGAAAGGCAGAGGGTGCGGGTGGAAAAGGCCGACATACCGACGGATGACGCTGCCGGCCCAGGCGCTGTTGGCCTCCGGGACGCGGAGGAGGGCCCGGGAGGCGGCCTTGATGATGAAGTCGTTGACCGACAGCGAAGACTCGGCCTGGGCGTTGAGCTCCTTGCGCAGCTTCAGCACGGCATCCATGCAGATGTCCGAGGTCAGGTAGAAGTGCGGGATGGTGGTCTTGGCCTCGAGCAGGCGAGAGGCAATCACACCGCGGATGTTGGACACCGGGATCTCGGTGTAGTCGTCGTTGGCCGGGGGGTAGACCGGGGCGGCGGCCTTGGCGGCCACCGGGGCGGCGGCCGGGACGGCGGCCGGGACGGCGGCCGGGGCGGCGGCGGCAGCACCCGACTCCAGGAACTCCAGCACGTCGTACTTGACAATGCGGCCATTCGGGCCGGTGCCGGCGATCTGGGCCAGGTCGAGGCTGTTCTCGCGGGCGATCTTCCGAGCCACGGGGCTGGCCAGGATGCGGCCACCGGCGCCGGTGGTGGCGACAGAGGCAGCGGCCGGGGCGGCGGCCGGGGTGGGGGTGGGGGCGGCGGCGGCGGCCGGGGCGGGAGTGGGGGCGGCGGCGGCCGGGGCGGCAGGCTTGGCGGCCTCCTCCTCCTCGCCCTTGTAGTCCTTGAAGGCGGCAATGTCGTCCTTGTCGAAGGTGACGATGCCGATGGGCTGTGTGTGTGTGTGTGTGAGTGCGTGCGTGCGTGTGAGCGAAGGGCAGAGGGGGGCGACAGGGAGCAGCGGCCGGAAGGCACAGGGCACGAACGGTCAGGACGGGAACGGTCTCGCCGGCGGGCAGGAGAATGCGCGCCAGGAAGGCATCCTCGTGGTAGTTGAGGTCGACGGCGGTCTTGTCGGTCTCAATGCTGGCGATGGTGTCGCCGGCGGTGATCTCATCGCCCTCCTGCTTGGTCCAGGAGGCCACGGCACCCTCGGACATGGAGGGCGACAGCATGGGCATCAGGATCTTCTCGTGGCGGGGGTAGGCTGGGGATGGTCCAGTGGGTCAGAGCATGGTACACACACAGGCACACCGGCGGTCGGGTGCGTGGGGCTCGAGGGGGGGGGGGGGGGGGGGCGGGGCGCCATCTCAACGAACAGGAATAGAAACGAGAGGCGAAGAAGCCGAAGGAGGGCGACCCGAGGACGGCGGCCGCGGGGGAGCGCATCATCGGGGCGGCGACCGGGGCGCGGCCGGCCGAAAAGCTGACCCGCGCAAGCGAGGGGGCCGCATGGGCAAGCGCGGAGAATGGCAAGAAGGGACAGGGGGGGGAGGGGGCGTGCGTGTCAGCAGGGGCAGGCCGGCCTCAGAGGCAGGGCCAGCGGGAAGGGCAGGCGGACGCACGCGACGCGGGCCAGCGTGGAGAAGGAGCGGAGGGGGAGGGCGCGGTTCATGGTGTTCCTGCCGGTGGCGCGAGGGGGATTAGTGTCAGGGCGCGGAGACGGGGCGGCGGTGCTGGGGGGGGGGGAGGGGAGGAGGAGAGGGGACAAGCAACAGGGCGCGCGAGGAGGCGAGGGACAAGAGGAGAGAGGGGGCGGCGACAAACCGGGGAGAGGGCGAATGAAACGGGGGGGGGGAGGGGGAGGGGGGACACGTTTCGGTGGCTCGCGGAGTTGGCCTCCTCCGGTTCCCGGCCGGCCGGGCGGGTGGCCCGCCCAAAAACCACATCACCCGGCCCCTGGGGAGACGGGTGCGTGGGTGTGGGCCCGTCCCCCCTCCCCCTGCGGTTGCCGAGCCGGGTGCAGGTGCCTCCCACGGCCCTATAACCCCCGGTCCCCGGCCCCGAGCACCGGCCTCCGGGCCGGGGCACCTTCCAGCACCCAGGGTCCTCCGGCCAGCGGGCAAATGGCCCCGCGGTGCTTTGCCTTCCCCCCCCCCCCCCCCCCCCCCCCCCCCCTTCCCATTCTCGCCCGGACGCCACAGCCCGTGACATGGAGGACTCCGAGGTGCTCGACCTGCTGTCGGAGAATCGAAGCATGTCACGCACGCTCGAGGACTACGGCAACCAAAAGTCCACGTCCATCAGCACGGCCCGGCGTCTGGCCGAGTTCCTCGGCGACCAGATGGTCAAGGACAAGGGCCTTTCCTGTCAGTTCATCATCTCCACTCGCCCAGCATGGCTCTCCTCTGTGCCCTCTTGGCCTCCTCCCGCCCCCCCCCCCCCCCCCCCCGGTCCCCCCTTCCCCAGTGCGGCGGCATGCGCGCACGGACGCACCACGGCCGGTTCGCAGGAGCACCCGCCTGGGCCGGAGCGGCCCCCGAAACGAGTCCGGCGGCGACCTCCACAGCCCAGTCTCGTCGCTCCGTCCCCGGGCCGCGGCGGCCGGCAAGGTGCCACTCGATCTGGCCAAGGAGAACCCCCAAGGTGGTCGGCGCGCGCCGGCGGCACCCATGCACACACACACGCGCACCCGTGCCCCCAGCCCGCCGCACGGCGTCGTGGAGGGTGCGCTGCCCCAATCCCTCCCGAGGGGGGGGGGGGGGGGCGCCCCCCCCCCCGGGGGGGAGCGGGGCGCGGGGGAGATGGCGATCGAATGTCAGTCACGGCCAGGTGCGGGACGCACCCCTCGCCCGCCCCGATCGCCGGGGGAACCTGTGTGCCGCGGGCGATCGCTCCGTCAGGCGCGCCCCCCCCCCCCCCGCCGAAAGCGCGGGCGAGGGGGGGGAGGGGGGAGGTGGGCCAGACCATATTCGAGGCGCACACACATACACAGACACCGAACGCTGGGCGACGCGCGGAAGGACCCCCGGACACAGTGCGGTCATCGCCGGACAGCCCTTGTCCCGGCTCCCCCCTGTCTAGGCGCTGAGCCCCACCCACCCTCCCACGAACACGACACCCCCACCCACCCACACAGACCAGGGGGGCCGGGGGAGGGGGGGGGGCGGGGCGGGGCGCCCGTGCTCAGGGCCTGGCCGTCCCCCGGCAGTGGAGGAGGAGCCAACGCATGCGGCCCCCAGCCGCCGAACCCCCATTTGAGCCACCGGCGGCGAACCTCAATCGACCGAGGGTTTATTCGGACCTAGATGGGAGTGCATGTGATCTTTGGACATGGGCGAACGCCCTTCGAGAGGCGGGCCATCAGCGTTGGGCCTCCAGGTGCTGGCTCACGGCGGTAGCCACCTCGGCCGTCAGAAGCCCGTACCCTGCCGGCGGGGCGAAGAAGTGGGGGTAGTTGAACAGATGCCCGACGAATGCCTGGCGGAAGCGCCGCATCTCATCCAGCAGGCTGGGCCCGGCCAGCTGGGTCGTGCTGTCGCCGGGAATGCCCAGGGCGAAGAGCGGGAACCCGGCAATGACCTTGGCTGTGAGTGTAGCCCCGTAGGGGGGGGGGGGGGGGGGGGGGGGGGCGCGAGAGGGGCACGAGAGGAGGACGGTGGGTGAGTCGGTGGGCAGGCTCGCGAGAGAAGAAAAAAGGGGGCTTCTTGGGTGGTGGGGACGAACCAAAGTAGAGACTCCGCAGGGCCGGCGGCGTACTACCCTCGGTGATGGCGACACGCAGCAGAAGGGCCGCGAAGCCCAGGTGCAGGGGCTCGAGCGGGCTGCCGGGCGGGGCCAAGTGTGCGACGGCCCGCAGATAGGCCGGCGCCATGGCCTGCGAAGGACCCATGGGACAATGTGTGGCCAGGAGCGAGGGGGAAGGGGGGGGGGGGCAGGGGGCAGGTTAGCCACAGACGGGAATCGAGTGACAAGGGGGCGGCAGCCGAGCCTGCGGCATTGGCACCGACAGCCGCACGTACCTTGAAGCAGGCCGTGAACGTGTGATGCGGGAGGTTTGCGTGGACTTGGCGCCAAATGAGTGACTAGGTGCGCGCATGAGGAGAGGATGTCCAACCAGCGCATATGTTCCACGGGAGAGAGAGGGGGGGGGGGAGGGGTGAGTGAGCATGTGCAGAGAGGAACCACGGAGCAAAGACACGGGGCAGAAGGCGGGCAGGGTGACGCAGACAAGCCCACGCGTGCCGGGAGATGCGCGCGCGCATGCCTGCGTCTGTGCGTGTGCGCACCTCAAGCACATTGACCCCCAGCATGAAGGCGTACACCGCCTGGATCGGACGCAGGGGATCCCGCTGGAGGGCGGTCGCCAAGCCCGGGGCCAGAATCTCCACCAGCCCGGGATGCGAGCCAACCGCGAGGACGCTGCTGCCGGGGCAGGCCAGCAGCGGCGAGTCCGGGCTGGCCAGCCCGTCCTGGTAGAATGCAAAGCGCAGGAGGGGGGTCTGCGCGAGCTGTGCCGTGGACGGGCGCTCGGCCGGCACGCGGAAGGCCAAATTGGCCATGTCTGGCCGGCGGAAGAGGCAGGCCCAACGAAGTGCGATCGGGGCCGGGCGGGGCGGGGCGGGAAAGGCGAGAAGGGGCCACCGGAACAGGTGAGCACACTAGGAGGCAGGGGGGGGGCGGGCGACGGCATAACTCCCGGGACACGCACCAAGGAAGGAGTACGGATGGAAGAGGGCCATCTCCAGGGCCGGGAGGAGGCGCATCAGCCGCGTGCCACGGCCCTTGCTCTGCTCGAGCGCCGCGGCGACAACCAGCTGGTGCGTATCCGGATAGAGGCGCTGGCGGTCGGAACACCGGCAGGCCGAGCGAGTGGGTCCGAGGGAGGAGCGAAAGGGAGGTCAGCCGGGGGCCCGGGCAGCGAGCGGCCGAGGGAAGAAGAGCGACAAAGGCGGCCCTTGCGATTGCAACACACCTGCGACAGGGGGAGCATCTGGAGGAAGACATCACGCAGATACTCATCCGAGAAGGAGCTCTCGGGCGGCGTAAGCAGCCCGGCCAGCAGCTGGCGGGCCCGGGTGGCCAGGCACAGGTGCCCCGCGGCCGGGGGCGCCCCGGCCGGGCTGCCGCAGAGCTGCTGCCCGGGCAATGCCAAGTCCCCGGCGCCCAGCACCGGCAGGCAGCCCATGCCAGCCAGCGCCAGGAGGCTGGCCAGGGCCATGTCCGCCGGCAGGGGAGACGCCCCGGCGACCGCCGGCTCGCCGGCCCGGAGCGACCGGCAAACGGCGGCCATCGTGTCGGCCACTTCGGCCCCGCCCCCGGCACCCGGGCCCCGCCCGTACAGGCCGGTCAGCGGGCCCCACAGGAGGTGCCGGATGAGGGCCTGTCCGAGGGCCGGCAGCCCGGCCGACGCCGCCGCCGCCACCGCCGCCGCCGCCTGGCCCGGCGGCTCGTTCGGCTGTCCGGCCGCGCCGGCCTGCGCCACGACCACCGGATCCAGCAGGGCAAAGAGCCGGGCGGTGCGCTCGCGCAGCCCCGGCCTCTCGGCCAGCGAGTCCGACCCAGCCAGCAGCACGGCCGCCAGGCGATCGGCCGGCAGGGCTGGCGCCAAATCCAGCGGCTGGTGCGGCGGCACCACGGCCCACAGCTCGGCCACGGCACCGCCGGTGACCGCCTGCGCCGCGAACGGACACACCGCCAGGCAATACTCGCACGAGTCGGCGGACAGGCCCAACTCCAGCGGGCCCTGCTTCGGGAGGGCAGGGGGGCCACCGGTGGCGCCGGGTGTGGCCGCCGTGGCCGCCGTGGCCGCCGTCGCACAGCCCCCGCACAGCAGCCGCCCGGGCGTCTGGCCGCCACGCCGGAAGAAGGCCCCCGGCAGGCCGGCCAGCACCCCGAGCTGGTGCATGTCCACCAGCAGATCCAGCACCAGGGGCCGGAGGAGAGCGGCCCAGGCGCGCAACTTCCCCGGGTCGATGGGGGCCACCGGCGAGGCGGCCGGGCCACCGGGCCCAGGGCGGATGCCCCGGCCGCAAGTGCCGCACAGGCCCCCGGCCCCCGGGCTGCCCCCGGCCAGGAACACCTCCACCAGGGCCTGCTGCAGGGCCAGCAGGGCCGCCCGCGCCGGGAGCAGGACCCGCGGCGGGGGGGCCGTGCCGCGCCACGCGAACCCGGCCAGCATGTTGCGCACGTGCGACAGCGCCATGCCCAGCACCTGCGGCAGGTAGATGCCCGGGGCATTGGACAGCGGCCCGGCCGCCAGAGCCACCCGCCGGGCGAAGTCCGCCGCCCAGGCCAGGTACCTGGCGTCAGCCAGCACGCCATCGCCGCCGGTCGTCGCCGGCATGGCGCCCCCGGCCGCCGACAGAGACCCCAACAAGGCGAAGGCGTCCTCCGGCAGGGAGGCCACGCGACGCCGGGGATCGGCCCCGGCCCGGAGCCAGGCCTCCGCCGGCCCGGCCACCAGACTCCCGAACCAGCTGCGCACCATGGCCTGCGCGGAGGCCCCGCCGGCCGGGCACCCACCCGGGGGCGACCCCGGCGGGTCGAGGCTCGGCACTAGGCCGGCCAGCTGCGCCGCCAGCGCCCGCCGCGGCAGGAGCAGCACCTCGTCCGGGCTCGGGGGCACGGGCCCGGCCCCGGGGCCGGCCACCGTGCACCGGGCCACCAAGGCCCGGTAGTCCAGACGCGCCAGGCCCAGAAGCCACACGGCGATGCTGCCCCCCGGGCCATTCCACCCGTCGAAGCCGGCACCGGCACCGGCACCGGCGCCGGCGCCGGCGCCGGCGGCGGCGCCGGCCGTGGTCGCAGCAGAGGCGGTCACCGCCGCCAGCACCCGTCGCCGGCCGGCCATCCGCGCGATGAAGGCCTCCGGCTGCGGGGCCAGCAGCCCCGGGCCGAAGGCAAAGATCAGCGCATCCCCCAGCAGGGTGTGGCACCCGGCGCTGAGGACATCCCGGGCCAGGGAGTTGTCTGCGGGGCGCTCGGCCGGGGCCAGGGGGGCCCGCCCGCCGGCTGTCTGCCGCAGGCCCAGCAGCGGCGTCTCAATGCGCCGGCAGTCCACCCGCGTCGAGAGGTCCAGGAAGTACGGCATGAAGGACCGGTCCACGAACGAGACGAGCTCATTCAGGGGCGGCTGCGTGGGCCCGGCGCCGTGAGGCGGGGCGGCGGCGGCGGCCACCGCCTCCGGCCCCAGGACCGCGTACCGGAGAAGCCCATGCACGCCGAGGGGCGCCACCCAGGCATCCAGGAAGTGCAGCAGGAGCAGCTGCTGATGCTGCGGCTGTGGCGGCTGCGGCGAGGCCGACCCCCGGCACGGGGCCGCCATCAGGTGCTGCATGAGGGCCAGCTGCAGCAGCGACGGCAGCAGGTGGCCCAGACGCCGGGACATGGTGTGCTCGGCCACCACGGCCCCCACCTGCGCCTCGAAGGTGGTGGCGCCGAATTCGCCGGTGGCGGCCGGCGGGCCGGCGGCCAGCTCGCTCAGCGCGCCCCGGCCCAGGGCCACGCGCAAGATGGGCACCACATGCGCCAGGCACTGGGCCAGGCACTGGGCCAGCAGCTGGGCCGGCACTTCGGCCCGCGAGTAGGGCCTCGGGCGCCCGGCCGGCAGGGTTGGCCAAGCGGCCGCGGCCACAGGGTCCCGCCTGGCGGCCGGGTCAACCGCCAGCGCCAGCGCGCTCGGCCCGAAGTGGAACCCCGCCGGCAGCAGGCGCAGCACCAGGCTCACGACCCCCTGGAGCAGGGCCACCAGCAGGGCTTGGTGCACCGGGCGCTGGCTGCCGGCCAGCGTGGCCAACAGACGCCCGGTGCTCGGGCCATGGTGGAAGAGGATGCGCTCGGCCGTGAGGGCCAGCAGGACCACGGTCGACCCGCGGGCCAGATCGCCCTCGGTCAGATTCAACAGACGCGCCCCGGTCAAGTCGAAGATGGACGCCACATTCCGGGGGACCTCGCTGCCCCGGTGGGACGGGGCCAGATCCCGCAGGAAATGCACCAGCGACAGGGGGGCCGTCAGGAACTCGGCCCCCATGTTGCCCGGCAGGCCATCCACGAATTCCAGCAGGCTCGGCAGCCAGAGGGCCAGGTCTTCCGGGGTCCGGTTCAGATCCAGCGCCGGCCACAGGGCATGCAGTCGCTGAGCCTGGGCCGTGTTCCGGCTCGCATGGAAGTCGAAGGAGGACAGGGACGCCCCCACGTGGGGGGCCCCGGCACGCGAGCCGGCCCCCGCCGAGCCCGGCCTCAGGGACCCGGTGATCATGTCCCCGAGGACGGACAGGCGCTCGAAGAAGGTCCCCCCGCCGGGGGCGGCCAGGGCGGCCGGCGCCGCAAGCGGCCCGGTGGCCCCGCCGGAGCCGCGCCCGGCCCCGGGGCCGCTGCCCCCGGGCGTCAGCCTGGCCGAGTGCATCTCCGCGGCCACAAGATCCCGCAGGCCATCGCTGAAGGCGTTCAGCCGGGCCACCGGGGCCGACTTCAAGGCCAGGGCCAACGGCGCCACCAGCCGGGCAAAGGCGTCCGCCAGCAGGGTGGTGGCTGCCAGCGAGGATGGCGCCGCGCGGATACTGGCACCGGTTGCCGGCGAGGGTGTGGTCGGGGGGGGAGGGGGGCATCGCGCAAGTGAGGACGACGGCAGGAGATGGTTGACATGGATCAGGGCGAGCGGGGAAAGGCGGGGAAGAAAGAGGGAGAAGAGCACGGAACAGGGGAGATCAGCATCCAGCAGCACGCCACTAGATGGGCACCAAGCACAACACCCCGGGCGCAGAAGACACCGCGGCACAGAGCACCGGACACGCACCCGTTGATGAACTCCCGCGTGAAGGTCAGCAGGGCGTCGGCCATGCGGGCATCGGCGTCGGTCATGCTGCGGGCGGCGGCAATGCGCTCGACCATCGGCCCGGCCACCTGGACCAGGCGCTCCATCAGCCGGACCATCTGCCGGGCCGCGGGCAGGAAGGCCGTCGAGTCCATGCCCGCCTCGACGAAGGCGCCGATGCGACTGAAGCGCAGGAGGATCTCCTGCGCCTCGTGGGCATGGTCCGCATTCAGCTGGTGCACCTCGTGCCGGTTCATGAAAACCACCGTCCCGCCGCAGGACTCGCAATTGTTGGTCAGCTGGATGGGCACGCTCTTCAGGTGGTACATCTCCGGCAGGAGGGTCCCATGCAGGCGATTGATGCTGGCCACCGCGGCCCGGTGCATTTCCTCGCCCTGCCACCCGGGGGCGGCCACCTGCTCGCTGTAGAGATCCGTCAGCCGGGCCAGGCATTGGTCGACGGTCAGCTGGCCGATGCCGGCCTGGTCGGCGCTGCCCGCGCCATGGCCGCCTTCCCCCTCGGGGCCGGGCCCGGCAAAGTAGGCATCCGCCACGCGGGTCATGCACCGGCGCAGGAGATCCGGCGCCGCGGCTTCGAGCCCCAGCGAATCCAAGCGCAGGTCTTCCGGCACGGCGGCCAGGACATCGGCATCCGGCAGGGCGACGCCGGGATCGGCGGCCGAGGCCCCGGCCCCCGGCCCCCGGCCGCGTGCGGCCATCCCGAGCACCGACTCGGCCAGCGGCTGAAGCCCGACCGACAGGCCAGCCGAGTCGATGGCCAGGCCGAGGGCCGGCAGGGCACGGGTCGAAAGCCCCCACACCGGCGCCTTGTCGCCCACCGTGCCGGCGGCGGCGTCGGCGTCGGCGCTCCCATCAACCGCAAGGCTCTCCTCGGTGGAGAGGCGACACACCGCAAAGTACCGGGCCAGGATGTCCCGGAAGATGGGGATCGTGGCAGAGGTGGTCAGGGCCGTTGCGCCGCCGGCCCCGGCCTCGGCCAGCACCTGGCCCAGGGCCACCAGCAACTGGGGGAAAGGCTCCTCCGGCTGGAGGAAGTCCCGGAAGAGGGCCGGCGAGAAGGCCTCGGCCGTGCGGAAGTGCGCCACCGCCGCCTCGGGCGCCGTCTTCAGGATGTCCGTCAGGGCGCTGTACAGGCGCACCGGGAAGGGAGACCGAGGGCCCCGGCGGTCGGCGGCCGCGCTGACAGCCTCCTCCAGCACCTGCAGCACCGGCGCCAGCGGGTCGGTCCAGTTGATGACCGACATTTGAGTCCGGTGGACCTGGAGCAGAACCGGCCCGAGCCATGTCAAGTGCATGGGGGTCCGGCTATCGATGCCGAGCAGTCGAGCCGGGGTCAGTGTCCAGATGGCCATGGCACCCAGCCAGAAGGGCAGCGCCCCGACCAGGGCACCGGGCGCCAACTGACAAAGGGTCGCCATGCGGAACCACAGGAGGAGAGTCGACTGGCTGAAAGCCCGGGTTTCCTCCGGGCGGAGACGCCGCGTCAGGTCCGCCGGCGAGTGGGAGGACGCTCGGGTGCGGACCACTTGGGCGAGGTGCCGGCAAAGGGAGATCTCGCAGTGGCTGGGGGGGAAGGCCGAGGGTCAGGATCACGCAGGGTGAGGGAGGGGGAGGGAGAGAGAAGGAGAGAGAAGGAGAGAGAAAGAGAGAGAAGGAGAGAGAAGGAGAGAGAAAGAGAGAGAAGGAGAGAGAAGGAGAGAGAAGGAGAGAGAAAGAGAGAGAAGGAGAGAGAGAAGGAGAGAGAGAAGGAGAGAGAAAGAGGGAGAAAGAGGGAGAAAGAGAGAAGGGATAATCGACAGTAGCACCGCAGGATGGTCAGACGCACAAGGAGGCACGCAACAGCGCCAAGTAGAAGACCGAGCGCGACTGAAGGTAGGCATTCGGCACCGCGGCGCTTTCAAAGTAAGCGGCCTGCTGCAGGTGGGCGAAGAGCGCATCGGTGTCTGGGTATGCGCGAGCGCAAGAAAAAAAAAGGGGGGGGGGCAGAGGGGAAGCCGTTAGCCCAGGGCCGAAGGAGGACCAAAGGAGGAAGCCCACGAGAGACGAGGGAGCAGGCGGGACAAGCGGGACCGGGAGGGGGCCCGGGAAAGACGCACCAGACGACCGCTGAGCCTCGGCCAGTCCGTACTGCATGTCGGTGCGAGTGAAGCGACACAACTCGGCATGCACCACCCGGCTGGTGACCGGGTCTTCGCCCAGGAGATCATACAGGACAAAGGGCCCCAGACCGGCCGTGCTGCTGGTGTCCTCCAGCCCCGGGGCCATATACTGCGCCAGGAAGATGACCGTGTCCAGCAGCTGAGTCGTGGCCGGCGAAAGGAAGAAGGACCCCGGCGTGCCGGCGGCCATGATCACCCGCAGCCAGAGAGACAGACAGCGCTCCCGCGCCCCGGGGGTCCGAAGGTGACCAAAGCAGGCCCAGAAGGCCGCGGCCAGAGCCCACACCGGGTCCATGGCCAAACCGGCCGGCAGCAGGCCCACCGGAGCCAGCGCCTGCCGAAGGGCCCCCTCAAAGGCGCCCGACACCCCGGTGCCCGTCCGCTCCAGCAAGTACGCCAGCGAGGAGCGCGACAGCTCTTTCCCGGGACCGAGCAGGCGCCGCAGGCCGGCCGATGCGCCGGAAAAGAGCCCCTGCAGGGCGGATGCCGCAGATGCGGCGGCCGCCCCGGCTGTCCCGGCAGCCGGGGCGGCCGGCAAATCCACCGACCCCGCGGTCAGGCCCCCGAAGAGACACACACGCACGACGGCCACGGCGGCCTTCTCCATCGGGGACAGGCGACAATCGCCCTGCTCGATGTCCACCAGCCAGGCCCCGGGAGGGCTGAGCTCGGTGAAGGTGGTCATGTGCACCGGGAAGAAGTTGACCAGGGTCGAGCGCAACAGCGAAAAGGACTCGGACGCGCGGAGCCCCTGCGCCGGGAGGATCGGGCAACCCCGGTCAAGGCATCGGTCCCGCACAACGGGGACAAGGGGAGGCCGGACCATGTTCGCCGGGGAGGGGAAAGGCCGCCAGACCATTCGAGCGGGAGGAAACACACGGCGGAGGGGGGGGGGGGGGGGGGCCGCGGCTGGGAGGGGCGGCTGGAAATTGGGGAATAAAGCCCCCCCGCCCCTCCGGACCC